AGGTTCGCTGGAATGCCAAGCGGGGACCGGAATTCACTTGGGAGCGGGAAGACTCAATGAAACAGAAGTATCAACAATGCTTTCCAGATCCATGATTTGTATCTTGTCTCGTGTTTTAACTTTAAATTTCGGGACGAAATTCCCTCTAACGGGGGGATAATGTAACAACCCGAAATTTCTGTACCACTTCTTGTAACTCTTTCGTAGTTCAATTCAAGCAACCAATCGTTGTTTCCAAATTCGATTCCGATTTTCTTGTTTAATTAAGTCATTAACTTGTACGTATCTAAAATGACTTAATGGGTGTCTTAATAAATTTAGAAATCATTTTAACACCCCATATTAGTGATCGGAATATTTCTAGAATTCACCATATCGGGTTACGGCAACCTAATCGGGTACGACCAAAAGCCTCGCCTAACGCTAGTATCGGGTAGAATTCCATCGTGTCCAAAACTTAGACACTATATAATGTGTTCCAAGCCTTCATTTGAAGCTTTTGGCTTCATCTCACTACTCTCTCTCTAACCTCTCTCCTCATCCAAATCTAAGGTCGAAAAACAAAGATTTAAGGCTCCAAATCAAAGAGGTAACACCCCTAACTTGTTATAGCCTTCAAATTGATGTTTAAATTACGATTTAGGACCTGGAACATGTGTTTACAGCCAAGGATGAAGCTTGGGCCGTAAACACACAATAATGGGGTTTTTGAGCCATTTAACCCTTCCAAATCATAGTTGGGACTTAGATACGACCTTGAGGCTTACTAACCTGCACTTACAACACATTAAACATACATTTTGAGGGACAAACAAGAGCTTACAACCAAGACATGTGCTTGGGCTATAAACTCCTCAAAAATGGGGATTTAACACCTTAAATCATGTCTAAATGCCTTGTAACTCAACCAATAGCCTTGTGGTAAATCCTAAATCCATCTAAAAATAGTTTGGCGGTTTGTAACATATCAAAAATGACACATATAGGAGTTTAAGGCCTAGGCACATACCCTTTGGCCGTAAACTCATAAAACCATGCCAAATCATGCCCCTAATTCACCCTAAAGGCTTGGAAAAATCTCTAGAATCACATGTGATTGTTTTAAGTGCCATAAATTAATTATTCATGGACATGGGAGAGTTTACGGCCATGGTATGTATACTTGGGCCGTAAACTCCCAATTTGATGTTAAATGATGCCCAAAAGTGATGCAAAACCTTGGAAAATTAATTAGTATCACATGTGATTGCTCCTTGTGCCTCAGATCAATTTTTCTTAACCCTAGGAGAGTTTACGGCCATAAACTCCAAGTTTACATCCGTGAACTCCTTCTTAAATGGTTTTAATCCATTCAAACCATTCCAAGGCATTTTAGTAAGTCATTCCAACAATCCCCAAGTCCAAATAAGCCATTAAATCCTCAAAACCACACCCACATGAGTTCACGGCCGTGAACTCATGTATATATGTGTTATGTGGTTGTAAACTCACTTAAATGTTTACTCTTGGGGAGTAAACTCAAGTCCCAAGTCCCTAGTACCAATTCACGTCCGAAGATGTCACCCGGGTCACTCCAAACGCTTGTTTTTAGGTGTTTAACCTCGTCGGAGTGTAATGTTCCATATAATTAGTGAATGTATCTCTAATTAGATATATATATGGACATTATTACATTTTACATAGGGACATCGCAAGTAATCAAGCCCCGAACCAACGTCTAGTGTCCGAAACCGTCGCATTTCCGAGTTCGGTGAGTTCATATCCCTACCCTTTTCACTGTTTTCACTGTTTTCAGGGGGGAACACAAGCAAAGTACAAGGGATTACTTGTACTCAAAATGTGTTTTCAAACGTGTGTTTCACATTTTATATGCTTTTAACATTGATTACTACAACTGATAACCGTTTGACATGCAGATCACGTAACATATATTTGTGAAATGGGTTTTAAACTGCTATGTTTTACATATATTTCACAAATGGCTTTCCACATTTTATCAGTTAAAAGCAGGACATTAGACATTTGAACATAATACCTGTACACTATTTTGTCCTCGGTAACACTCCACATATATACACGAGTGGAGGACTATCATATTATTACTAGTAAATTTGTTAATCTTGTATGATTGGAGACACGTCCTCGGCGAACACTCCATAGAGATACGCGAGTGGAGGACTACACCCGTAACCAGAATCTCTAGAATTTAGAGAGCGTGACTTGAGTGTATAGATCTATACGGGGCTGACTACCCCACACCTGGCTGCTAGCTATAGCCGAACCAAAATGGTTCAAGGGTGACGAAAGTCATAAGTATGTGGACTACTTATTGCCACATGTTTAGTCCATTTTATGGTAATGGAACTCGCAATTAGGATAACAGAGATTTACTTATGGTAATATTGAACAACCTTATACAATCCACAAGATAACCAGTTCTCTAGTATACATCTTTCACATTGAAAACCAACATTCAGGAAAGTATGGGACTTTCCTGGGGAAACATTGAACATAACCACGTATTCGGAAAACATCTTTTACATATAGTAACTAACATTCAGGAAAGTATGGGACTTTCCTGGGAAACCTTGTACATAACCAGGTCTAACAGGAATACATCATTTACATACGGTAACCAACATTCAGGAAAGTATGAGACTTTCCTGGGAAAACGTTTACATAACCAGAAAGGATAACAAACCAGATAATTGTACATCTTTCACAATTGATAACACAATTAGGAAAGTATGGGACTTTCCTGGGAATACATTAGTACATAACCAGAACAGTACGCCAAACCAGATAACCTAACTTACATTTTCACAAAAAGTAAACATGTTTTCAGTGTACAACCCTACTTTACATGTTGACAAACGATAACCAACCTTTATTAAGAAAATATGGGATTTTCTTGGTGTGCGTAACATTTCAGAAACAGAAAGGAAAATTGAACAATTTCACAAACAAAATCGCTTATGAACTCACCATCGTTATGTTGATTTTCAAACCGCTTGTGTTCTCAGGTCAGCATTAGAACAGGTACCCAAAGATCCTTTTTGCTTGAAGACGGAGTACTCAGAAGACCCGTTTCATTTTGTTCATATTTATATGCTATGTATCACAACTGTACAAATTTTCTCTTCGAAACAACTGTAAAACTTTCCTTATGTAATGTAATGGTTGTTTTACTTTACTTACTATGTGCATTGGATTTGATACTCAACGTGGAGTCAACCTCGGAAATGTTTCCGCCTTCGGTTTTCAGGGTGTGACAGCTAGGCTCACAAAGTTCTTAAGGAATCCAAGCAACAAAAAAGGTATGTTCTTCTACTAGCTTTTTTGTTTCAAGTTACCCATTCCATGCTAGTTAGGATAAGAACCTTGGAAAAAATCAAATTTGCATGTATCTTAGTACAACATAGATCCAAGGTTTCTAGGGTAACATGTACACCATAGGGGTGTTAGAATGCTTAAAATCCTTCAATATTTACATAACCCCATGGCTAAAATCGGTTACAATAAATGTTCTTGGAGTTCATAACCAATTTGTGTGCCTAGTAATCTCTCTCAAGTCATTCAATTGTTCAAGGGTGTGTTGTGAACCGTTTGAGGCATCACACTTGTGGTGCTAAATTCTTAAAGGCCAAAAAAACTACAAGCTACAACAAAGAGGTAATTCTATAACTCACTTTTACGTTGATTATGTCAATTGTATGCTAGTTGTAGGCTTGATGCTTTGGAAACAATCTTGCATGTATAATTAGAGAAAACATAGATCCAAAGCATTTAGGGTTGTATGTGCCCCATATGATGTTGTAGTATATAAAACCCATCAGTTAACACATTAACAATTGCCTTAGAGCTTAGATTACAATTTGGGACGTCTAGTATGATAACTAAAATACATTAGGATCATTAGAAATCCTTAAAAGATAGTAAATTAGGGTTAACAAAAGTTAATCCTAATTAAGTTATATTAGGATTGTTAGATATCCTGAAAAGATAGTAATTTAAGATTTTTAAAAGATACCATAAAAATATAGTAGGATAGGTAAATAAATAAGAAAGGTTTTCACAAAAGAAAGGTATTCTTAAAGGAAATTCAAAAATATAAACTCGTGCACTCACCAACATTAGGTTGACTTTCAAAATACATGTATTCTTAGGAAGATGAGTGGGGAAGAGTGTCTGCCAAGTATGAAGGAAGTTTGCAAGGAAGCTGTTGAAGTTTAGTATAGTTATTTAAGGACTTTGTGATTGTCCCTAAAACAATGTAATCCTTCAAAAATTGATACAAAATAAATGTTTAGAATATACCTTTGTGTTTGATTGAACTTGTTGCCAAGATCCAATTATCCCTATGTTGCACTGCCCAGTGTTTCCGCCAATGGTTGGGCGGGGTGTGACAGATTGGTATCAGAGCGTCAAGTTATAGAAAACTGGTAATTCCTTAGGAAATATGACTATGGCCAAGGGTGTAAGAACTTTGAATTAATAAAACCTAATGAAAGTATTAATAATAACAACTGTATCGATAAACGACTCTTGGTGAGGTGTCTAGACTAGAAAACAACTTGTCGATAGGGTTGCAGGATTTCAGAACAGGTTTATGTCAAAATGGTCCTGCCCTTCGACTTTCTCTAACTGGCCGATCCTTATAGTTTAAAAGTAGAAAAAGATAGGATTAAACAAAATACCCCAATCAAATATTAATCAAATAAATAGTTGTGTAAACTCTTATAAATATACCCTTGTATCCAAAAAGATTAACCATTTTAAATCACAACTTAAGATTTTAGGTCAAAAACAAATCCTAGGTTTAGGTAGTACTGCGGCCGACCGACAACTAGACCTAGAATGCACAAATAAGTTTTATTATTGCCCAACCAACACACACTTAAACCTGGATGTTGTATATTACAATCTGAACACTTAAAGATTTATATATCGATAGTTAGTACGCCTAGTTAGGAAATTATGATGAAATCTACGACTAGAAGATGATCAGATCAATAGAACTAATGGACTTCTCTGAATACTATAGAGTGATATGCCGAGAGAAGTTAAGGATTCACGTCTTAGAATTTCTTAGGATTGAGCCCGACTTACTACTCGGAGTGTTTCGTTTATAGATCAAGGATGATGATCTTGGCAGCACTTACCCGATAAACCCTTAGGAGAAAATCACAGTAGATCTAGTACTATCTAATATATACCTATAATCCTATAATTATACGTATTAAGATTTTACTCTTATCCCTCCTAAACATCTAACCCTTTTGGATATCTTATGCAGGGCGGTCGGAGCAGGCGTGATCATCAGGAGCTCATCCATGGAGGATATCTTGGATTGGTTTTCTAATCCATCCCCAGAGGGAGATCAGATGGTACCGCACTCCTTAGTAAGGGAGGAAGAAAAGTACGATCCACGGATGTTGAGGCCACCTACCCCCACTGATATGGATTTTATCGAGAATGAAGATCCATATGAGGACGAGGAGTCCTATAAGGACAATTTGTACGATGGCCAGGTGGGAGGATATCCAGGTGACATCTTGCCATACCCTAACTAATCATCCCATTGTGATGGACATCCCGATACTCATGAGGATGAAAATAGTGATTCAGATCCATCATCAGATTCTCCAGTATCAGACTATCCTTCTAGTGTGTACGCCTGAGACCCCGAGTGGTGTACACCCCCAGAAAACCCATTCCTATTCCATCCCAAATGAGAGCAGTCTCACCCCCCATCATCCCCATATCCATCCAAGCAAACTTGCCCCATCCATAAATGGACCCCCCAAGTAGACGAGTCGATCCAAGAGGACATCATTGGCCACTATGAGATCGTAGAGTCGTCCTAGGCTCTGAGACGTGACCCGATTTATGAGGATCCCACAGATTGAGCAATTTTAGTGTTAGTTCCATGGAAGGCACAACACAAGGATCTTGTACATCACTTAGAGGAGGATCATGACGAAGGGAGGTGTTCGATTAGGTTTCAAAGCTCATAACTATAATTGGTAAGTACTTGGTTTGATAGTAGCATGTCCTTTTGGATTGGCTTCACTCATGCAACTTGACAGGATGACTGGTGGAGAGAGAGTAGGATTAATTATTTGAAATAATAAATTGGTACTCAAAATGATTTTATTAATATATTATAAGATTAATATATTATTTGGAAATCATATTATTAATTAGTATTTAATTAGAAATTAATTTGGTATTAATTTTGGGATTATAGGAACTGGTTAATAATAGAGCAGTTGTTTTGCAAATCATTGAGAGTTGTGAAACTGGGCTTAGGAATCCATGGAATGGAGTCGACGAAATTTATAGGAGGCCCTATAAGATTTCATCCAAGGGCTTTTAATAGAGGTCCATGGGTTACTTAGGGTTTTGGATGGGAACTATGGTTTCATTATTCAAGTCCAACTTCAAGATTAAGCAAGCTAGCCCTATATAAACCTCTCCAAACCATAGGAATTTCGGTCAATGCAATTTTCCACAACCTTAGCCGATTTTCTTTGTCTCTCCTCTCATCCTCTCGCATGGGGTGTTTGTGAACCATTAGAGATGCAACATTTGAGGCACTAAGCTTTTAAGAGTCAAGGATCTTTAGGATTGACTTGTTATTATTACATAACAAGTGAGGTAATCTTCTAACCCTAATTTGTATATGAATTTCAAATTTATAAGGTTGATCTAGAGTTATTGCTTTGGAATTAAATTTGCATGTTCAATAGTGAAAAACTTAGATCAAAAGCAATTAGGGTTGCATGAACACATAGGTTTGGTGTGATGCTCATAACCTAATATTGGTATCAGAACCTAGGATGTTTTTCAATTAAATTGATGCAATAGTTTTCCCGTTTTCTAAACCTAGAACTCGACGAGTTCATTGGCCAACTCAACGAGTTGACTCGTCAGTTCCTTATTTTTTCGATTTTTAGATCTTATTTTGATTAGGATTATTGCCTTATTTTAGTTTACTGCCTAAATGGAATTTTTTTCAAATGGTAATATGATATCCTAATCATAATTAAAGGATTTGGTTAAATTTGGATAATGATACGTTTATTTTCAATTTAACCTAGTATTTTGAAAAGTTTTAAAATACATCATTTTGGTTTTATAATTTAAATTTGAAATTAAAAGTTTTAATTTTGGAAATTTAAATGGAAAACCCTTGAAGATATCCTTGTGGATTTTATAAATAATTTAATTAAAAGACAACTAATAAATACATATGTGGTTTAAATTTAATTAAATTAAAAGTTTAATTTATTAAGAGATTAAACCTTGGTATTTTAAAAGTTTAAAATACACCCTTATATTATTATAAAATTAAAAGTTTAATATTATATATTTATAAGAAAAGTTAGTCTTAGCATTAGTAGGCCTCATTCACAAAGCTGGTCTATAAGGGGTGTTTAAGGAAACGGCCTATAAAATGACCGTTATTGGGTATCCATTCTTACCCACTGCACACTTGACTAGTGGAGGGTCGTTAGCCGAACGGGTAGGATTTGACATTAAACTCTCATTAAAAGTATAATGTATTGTAAAGTAACTAAACGCTTTTATTAAATTCTCAATCTTAGTTACTTTAGCAAAATGTGAATTTGATGCTAACCCATGAAATTGCACATTGCACATTACTGGTCATTAATGAAGCGTGTGAGGTTAATCGGCACACTAATATGAGACCAATATTGTTGGCAGTGGGTGTCTCGTAAATTATCGTTGAGTCAATGGAGCATCTGTGGTTAACCGGCACATTGATTAGATGATAGATGTCATCAAGAGTGTCGAGCTAATTTGCATGGTTATTCACATCTCGTTTGTAATCCTCGACATCCTAGTAAATAAGTGAGAGCATAATCGAGATTAAACATGTCATTGAATAGTTCAATGAATCTCAAAAGATCTAGGAATTTCATCTAGAACCTAATTTGTTAAAATTGCGTTTTTCATGGTGGAAATGGTAAATCGTCATTTACCTACCTTCAAATGATTTACAGTTGGATTACGATATCTCTCTTCTGAATTGTGAATTATTGTTTTGGGTCCTAGCCTTAATATTTCTTTTAGGTGTTATATTAGGGATTTAAATCAACTAACTTGAATTTTCTCCTCTTATAGATGTCAAGTTCAGACAACTATGGTCATCCACATTCCTTTGTAAAAAGCTTTCCTTTTGAAGATGATCTTCCACATGTCAATATGGTGAAAGAACGTCCCCTTCTTCGTGCAATGGTGGAATTGGAAATCATACTTCTATTCCTACACCTCCTCTAGTGATTCTCCCTGTCCCGCGTTTCGTCGACTTGAAAAGTTTAAGGTCACGAAAACCCTATTGGCATGTAAACACCAAGATGGAAGTTCTATGTGTGCACACGTCCTGAAGATGAAGTCGCACATTGACATACTGGGAATGTCGAGTGTTGTTTTCCTAAGGAAGCTAGTTGTTGACTTGGTTCTTTAATTGCCTCCTGAATCATATAGTTAGTTCCTGAGGGACTACTACATGACTGATCACGACGTGACCTTAATCGACCTAACATATTTGCTAATTGTTGTTGAAGTAGCAATGCTTTGGTGCACTGGTCAAGCAAATTTGTTTGGAAGATCTACCTCTGAAATTTCCATGGACATAGGTAATGACAACGATGATAGTCCATAAATGTTTTCTTCTCCTAAGGGAGAGAAATTGGCTAATGTCAAAAAGTTTGACACTACAAGAAAGGCCAATTTTGAGATAGTATCGCGTGTCACTCCTAAAGAGTCCATCTGTCTCTATTGTCGATTGAAGGGGAATTAGAAGTGAACTTGCCCTGACTACCTAAGAGATCTTAGATATGTTAAAGTCAAATTATATGACTCTACTTCAGGTACATCCACAATCCATCTCTATTAAGTTCATATCTATAGATTCTTATTACATGATGTGATAATCAAATTTTGATGTTTTGTAGGATCAAAGAGAAAGAAGGAAGCTTAAAAGAAGAGTAAGCGGAATCTGATTGTGAAAAATGGATTTCGGTCGCATGGTTCGATGATTGGATTTTTGATCTGCTACTTAGGTGTTATGATAGATTTATTAGGAGTATCTAGAAACATAGTTTTCATATGTATTTACATTTGAAGGACAAGTTTTCAACACATTATCAATAAAGTGAATTTTGGTTTTATCTTATTTGCTTTATGAATACTTGCAATGGGATTTATGAAAAATTGGTGTTTATATTTCTATTATTAATTCTTAGTTATATCTCTTGTGTTATTGTCATAATTTACCAAGTGAGGAAGAATTCTCATCACCCAACTTTTCAATTGGACGGAAACTTGGAGTCATGCGATTTGATTATTTAAATTGTGTCATGTATGAGAATCTTGATCCTTGGGAAATTAGGACTAATTCCTTGTTCACACATATATATATATATATATGTGTTTGTGTGTGTGTGTGTGTGTGTGAGTGAGTCAGTAAAGGACCAAAGGATCTAGTACACATTGTTGTAGTTAGATCTACCACAAAGGACGATAAAGTCTATTTGTCATGATTTAATGTTGGTTCAATAAATATGGTTATGCTTACAAGATTAAGTATAATTTTGATACTTTGAAAAGTTTTCAAAGTATACTAGAACAAATAAGAAGAATCCATTAGGCAGAAAGATAAAAGTTTCTCGAATCTGAAAGGAAAGGAGAGTACTTTAGTATCATGGTTTATGATCATCCTAATGATTATGCAACCATGTCACAATTGATCCTCTAAGAACACCTTAGTGCATTTATATGACTAAGAAGAGGAATCAAGTGTTGTTGAAATGTTTAAATCAAGAAGAATAGTAACACTTCATTCCAAAATTAAGTTTTAGAGTTATACTCTAGTTACTCCAAGTTGTACCTTGAGAAACATGTTCTAAGTAGGTTTATAACACCTCATTAAATGTGGAGTAGAAATGTTTTCTTGCTCTAGCACATTTGAAATTAGTAGTTGTGATGTTTTGGTTAAAACAAAGACCAAATAAGACCAATTATGTGAAGAGTCTTCTTGATAAGAACCCACACTAACTCTTGAAGATATGTTTGTCGAGGAATGTTCCTTGACAGAGAATCTTATATGTCAAGAATTCAGTGGGGGTCTTGTTGATCTTCAAAAGTTTCAGGAGACAATCGAGAATAAACCTTTTAGTAATCACTAGCACATGACCTAAGGTTGATAACCTATCGTGTTGACATATTCTTGTTTCTATGTACATTCCAGTTAAGTTTGTTGGATAAGGTGTCTAAGTCCATAACTATTTCTGGTATGTACTTGACCCGACCCGGCATGGTCCATTTGGGTTGCATGGCACCGTGCAATTGGATAGACTAAATGAGAGAAATAACACTTGGAGATTATTAATATATTATAAGTTCTAATATATTAATAATATTATTTGATTAGTTTGATCAAGAATTAATTTAGAATTAATTATGTGATCAAAAGATAACTAATTAAATATATGGGTTGATTATGTAAATCATCCATATCTTGTATAGTGGGCTAAGAGGCTCC